CCCTGGTTCTGGCCCCCCTCAGCTTTTTTACCCTGGTTCTGGCCCCCCTCAGCTTTTTTGCCCTGATTTTGTACCCCCTCTGCTTTTTTGCTCTGATTCTGGCCTCCCTCAGCCTTCTTGCCCTGGTTCTGACCCCCCTCAGCTTTTTTGCCCTGGTTCTGACCCCCTTCAGCTTTTTTGCCCTGGTTCTGACCCCCTTCAGCTTTTTTGCCCTGGTTCTGACCCCCTTCAGCTTTTTTGCCCTGGTTCTGACCCCCCTCACCTTTTTTGCCCTGGTTCTGAGCCCCCTCACCTTTTTTGCCCTGGTTCTGACTGCCCTCAGCCTTTTTACCCTGATTTTGTGTTCCTTCAGCCTTTTTGCCCTGGTTCTGACCCCCCTCAGCTTTTTGGCCCTTGTTCTGACCGCCCTCAGCCTTTTTACCCTGGTTCTGACCGCCCTCACCTTTTTGGCCCTGGTTCTGTCCGCCCTCAGCCTTTTTACCCTGGTTCTGAGCCCCCTCACCTTTTTTGCCCTGGTTCTGACCGCCCTCAGCCTTTTTACCCTGGTTCTGACCCCCCTCAGCTTTTTTACCCTGGTTCTGACCCCCATCAGTTTTTTTACCCTGGTTTTGACCCCCCTCAGATTTTTTGCCCTGGTTCTGACCCCCCTCAGCTTTTTTGCCCTGGTTTTGACCCCCTTCAACTTTTTTGCCCTGGTTCTGAGCCCCCTCAGCTTTTTTACCCTGGTTCTGTGAGCCCTCAGCTTTTTTGCCCTGGTTCTGGCCCCCCTCACCTTTTTTACTCTGGTTCTGAGCCCCATCAGCTTTTTTGCCCTGGTTCTGACCCCCATCAGCTTTTTTACCCTGGTTCTGACCCCCATCAGCTTTTTTGCCCTGGTTCTGACCCCCCTCACCTTTTTTACCCTGGTTTTGACCCCCATCAGCTTTTTTGCCCTGGTTCTGGCCCCCCTCAGTCTTTTTACCCTGGTTCTGTGCTCCCTCAGCTTTTTTGCCTTGGTTCTGGGTCCCATCAGCCTTTTTGCCCTGACTGGGGGTCCCCTCTGCCTTTTTTCCTTGGTTTGGGGTTCCGTCTGCCTTTTTGCCCTGATTTTGGGTACCCTCTGCTTTTTTACTCTGGTTCTGGGACCCCTCAACTTTTTTACCCTGGTTCTGGGGCCCCTCTGCCTTCTTGCCTTGGTTGGGAGCCCCTTCTACTTTTCTGCCTTGGTTAGGTGTCCCCTCCACTTTTTTGCCCTGATTCTGGGCCCCCTCAGCCTTTTTGCCCTGGTTCTGGCCGCCTTCTACCTTTTTGCCTTGTTTGGGGGTCCCCTCTACTTTTTTGCCCTGATTCTGGGCACTTTCTGCCTTTTTGCCTTGGGTCTGTGTACTCTCGGTCTTTTTGCCCTGGTTCTGGGCTGTTTCTGTCTTTTTGCCCTGGTTCTGAGTTCCATCTGCCTTTTTGCCCTGGTTCTGGGTTGTTTCTACCTTTTTGCTCTGGTTCTGAGCTGTTTCTGCCTTTTTGCCCTGGTTCTGGGTTGCTTCCACCTTTTTGCCCTTGTTCTGGGTTCCTTCCGCCTTCTTACTCTGATTTTGGGTTCCTTCTGTCTTTTTGCCCTGGGCTGTACCACTGGCTAGGGTACTGGCCTTGGTACCCACAGGGGGCACAGCCACCACAGGCACCTCTTTGGGAGCAGCGTCGAAGAAGGCAGCCTTCGTGGAGAGAACCTGGATGGAATTTACTATAGCACTGTAACCCGGTTCCACCTTTGCCACTTTTTTCTCCTTCTTCTTTTTGTCTTTAGGTGAGGGGGCAGGCTTCTCTTGAGGCATGGCTGATACTGTGGCTACAGGGGCAAAGACCACATGAGGTTGGACTGGGATTGGTGTCACTGCCACAGGAGAGGTCCGCATTGTTTCTTTGAGTAGGATGGTCATGTTGGGGGCTGGTTCATGCTCAGGTATCTTCCCGTTGGGTTTCTCTTCCTTTTTCTTGGTCTTTCCTTTCTTCTCCACTGTTTTCTCCTTCTTTTTCTTTTCCACTTTTAGGTGGTGAGTTTTTGCCATCTCCTTGCGCTGGTTTGCAAGGGCTTCTTCATACGATGTCTCCTTCATGGAGAAGGTGGACACTAAGAAGATGCCGATGGCAGAGACAACCATGAATCCGCCAAAGACCACAACTCCCAAGGTTTGAGTGTCGTAAATATCCATCCTGGCTTGTTTTTCCTTTCACCTGCCAAATACATACACAGAGATTAATCTTGTGTAGAAATGTAGGCACTGGACAGTTTCCAGTCCCACCCCTAGTACCAAACATATTGTTTTGCTGGTTGCTGTTGTTAAGTGTTGTTGAGTCGGTTCTGACTCACGGTGACCCTATATAGGGTTTCTGAGGAGTAGCTAGTGGGCTTGAACTGTCAACTTTGCAGTTAGCAGTCCAGTGCTTATCCTACAGAGCCACACCTGGATTTTACCACCAAACGTATGGTTTCATTAATCTTTTTCTTCAGACTAATAAATTCAGGAAAGAAACAAACACAAACAATCACTGAGCAGCATTAGTGCTGCCTCTATTTAGAAGTGGGCAATTTTCACCCTTTAAGATATGGGAAATCCCTATTAGTGCTAGACAATACAAAGAACAATGAAGGGATGGCAACGTGCTCACTGGAGTGTTTAACACCAAGCAGGCTCCAAGGTCAGGACCCTAATTTAGGATGTCTTCCACTATACATGAGCACAAGTGCAGACCACGTGTGGGACAATGGGGAGTGACTGGGAAGGGGGCCAAATGTCCCACCCAAATGAGCAAACAGGTGTCATACATAGCTAATTGCTGAAGAAATGTGATGAGCATGGTATTAATGAATCTTTGCTTTCTCACATTAGGTCAGAATCTTTTATCCCTACTAAGGAGCTCTGGGCCCAAGATCGGGCAGTGTTTCATTCTGCTGTGCATAAGGTCACTATCAGTTGGTACCGACTTGATGGCACCTAACAACAATAACAACAACAAGGAGCTCTGGTAGTGCAGTGGTTACGAATCGGGCTGCTAATCTCACAGTCAGCAGTTCGAAACTACCAGCTGTTCGTCGTGAGAAAGATGAGGCTTTCTGCTCCCGTAAAGATTTACAGCCTAGGAAACCCTGTACTGGGTCGCTATGAGTCAGAACCTACTCCACAACACATAACAACAACTACAAAATAAAATGTACTGGTTTAAAAAGTACAATATGAGTTACACAAAACCTGTCTGCAGGTTTTTGGCCACGTGCATTTTGGCCAGCAAATGCCCAGAGTGCCACCTCTGCTCTGTTGCCTCTTTGTCCCCGTGCCAGAAAAATACCTTTACATTAAGATCCTGAAATGTGATCTCGAAATTGGTGAAGGACAATAGAGTTTTTCAGTGATAAATCTTAAGGAATTTTAGAAGTTGCCATTTGCATGCTGGAAAACAGGAGAATCAGTCTTGGAAAGCTCACTAAATGAGACTCCATATTTGGAAGTCACACAGAAAGGGACAAGAACAAGTCATGTGCCAGGTGACACCCTCTAAAGTTGGAGCATGACCAACCCACTCTCACTGCCTATGGACCAAAGTCCAAAGGATCACAGGAAGCCAGGTTCACACTTCCTTGGCTAACAGCCCAAGTTACTTTCAACTTTAGGGAGGGCTTCAGGTGCCTCTGTGCACTCACTTGGATAAATAACTCATTCTGATGGTGGAAAGGGGGAGAGAGGGAGTGGGCATCCTCTGACATTACTCTCAAAGGTCTTGAGGTGCTGTATATGGTAGGTCAGGTCTGGGCTTTTCAGTGGCTTAAATGTCTCCTTCAGACTATCACCACATTAAGCTTTTCTTTCGGGTTGTAACCTATGCAACTGAAATCTTAAGTGAGTTCATAAAGGCCTTCTAATCCTAGGCAAAGTAACATTTATATCTTCAAGTGGATTCTGACCTCTGGCCATGGATATCTACAGCTGTGATTCAGAGCAAGGGATCCCTCACATTTGATAATCTAGAGAGGGTGTTACAAGTTAACCTTACTAGAAACACATGCACAAGCTAGGAATTGAAAAAAAGAAATCTGCACCCTGCTCAGCCTTCAACCACCATTCAAAACTCCGGGTCCTCTTAATACTTCACTAATGAAGGCACATTCAGATACAAAAACTAGATTATAACCAAAAACAAAAATCCTTTAAAACGTTCCTCTTCTCCAGAGGCAGTTGAAAGCAAGGGGACTCAATCATCTTGGTCAAGACTCTTAACAATTATGTGGTTAAGAAGTGGTCTTTGAGAGTGCTTCTCTTGACACCAGTCACCAGGCCCAGGCACGGTGAACAACCACCTACCAAGTGTGGCATGTCTACTACTGGACTGTGGAGGCTCTGCTTCCCCTCATGATTTATAACTTTTCAACTTGGACAGAAGAGCCAGAATTGGGATACCAGCCTTTCATCTCAGCCAGGTGGGCAAACATGATACAAAAGTATTTCCTCTGCTGGAGCTTATTATGGAGAACAGCACACTTGGAAGATCTCTTCTGCCACGCTCAAAATATATGTTTTATGGCAGCACAAATGTTGTCTCACAGCTTTTGAATAACATGTTGTTTAAAACAATAGTAATTTAAAAAGTTTATCTCCACCACTAATTCCTAAATTAGAATTTTTTCAAAGAAATCTTTTACAAGAGAATGAAAACCCCTAGTCTTAACGTTTAAAGATAAGAAAGATCACTTAACAGCAAAGAAACGGAAATGCAAACAGCCTTCTGCTGCTCAACAGAAGCAGCCTGAAGAGTGCAAATCCCAGGCCAGGAGACCTTACTGGATAATAAACCTAGTGATTCCCTCCAGTTTGCTCTGGAGACTTGCATTTCTGACACCCCTGCCACGAGCAAAGAACTTGCACATCAGCGATTCCCCCTGTGCCCAGATGGGAAAAAAATTAAGCCAGATGTAGGCCTACCCACACCTTTTACGGTCTGATAACAAAGAACCTGCATTTGGTAAATCCCAGAAATGTCTACAAAACACTTAATTGTACTTATGTTTTTAGTAATTACTTATTATCTCTACCCTTATGGTAGTATAGGATTAGGATGCAAGACAAAAAGATTATATGACGGCTCACAAGAAGGTGTAGAAGGCACAAAGAGCATGGGGGTGGGAGGAGCCCACTTACTTACAGACTCAACTACCTAGAACCCACCAGCCCGCCTCTAGTGTTTCAAGGTGAAATATTTAACTCAAGAGAATGGTTCTTCTATTTGTTGTTGTTGTTAAGAGTCACTGAGTCAGTTACAACACATAGCGGCTCTGTATGGAGCTTCTGAGGAGCAACTAGTGGGTTTGAACTGCCAGCCTTGTGATTAGCAGTCCAATGCTTATTCTACAAAGCCACACCAGGGCTTCTGTTCTTAGAGGGTTACAATTCAGGGAACAAAATAAGTTGAAGCTCATCCTCTTTGGTCATGGAATATTTTTGTTAATTCTAATGGCCCAAGCAAACCAGTTCAGTCCACTCTCACAATGGGAATGAGGACAAGTTATTTGAAATGACTCTGACAAGCAGGCCAGGGATCTGTTCTTACCACCAGCCAACTGCTCCTCTACATTCATTCTGAGAGGCTGTGGGGTACAAGTATACTAGAAGAGTGGGGCGGGGCTTGCCAAAGAGAACAAGTCTCCAGATGGGTTTTCTGGGCACACATTGACTTATCAGGAAGGTACAAAAATGAAACAGAATGATAACAACAGAGGCACGAATTGATTCATACCAACCCTACGAAAAACACTACGTAATCTTTCAAATGTAAAAAAAGTAAAGAGAAAAAAATCATGAATATCCTTTGACCATACCCACAGACCCAGGATTTGTCAAATCCTAAAATTTGACACATTTATTTTAGATATTTAAAAAACAAATAACCCATCATCTTTCCTACCAGATCTCTGAATGTGTGTCGCTCACCATTTTCATAAGGGATTATGCTTATATTACAAACATGTGCTCTGTAAACAAAACATTGCTTTGCTGGTAATTGGTATGTGATATATTGGGAGTCTTGGTATGTAGCTGTAGGACAAGAACTGAAATGCTAACCATAACCTAACTGCTAGGTTGGCCAGTTCAAACCTACTAGTGCTCCTTGGAAATCCTACACAGGGTCACTATGAGTCAGAATTGACTCAATGGTGCTTAACAACAACAACGTTTTGTAGATATCATTTGGGCAATACATTTTGGAGGGTGGGGCTAAACTTTGAAGTCTGTATACTTAAAAATAGCCTTGTTGTTATGTGCCGTGGAGTAGGTTCCGACTCATAGCGACCCTGTACAGGGTTTCCAAGGATGGAAATCTTTACGGGAGCAGAAAGCCTCATCTTTCTCCCGCGGAACAGCTGGTAGTTTTGAACTGCTGACCTTGCGGCTCACAGCCCGATTTGTAACCACTATGCTACCAGAGCTCCTTAGTACATTCATATTAACTTCTATATTGTATAAATGGATCACAAATTATCCATACTCCTATGATGGGCATTTGCATATTATGCTAGTCACATGTAACTTTATACCAGGAGCTGTGTATACCTGTGTGCACAAATTTCTCTGGCAGATACACTAGAACTAGACCTGCTGGGCTACCGGGGTGCACAGCTACTTGATCCTACGTTAAGCAACTTGCTCCCCTTTTATGTCTCCACTGCAACTGACTGCAAATGCTTTTCCTTTACTTCACTGACATTCTCCTGTAATCTGATAGTGTTGAGCTGCCATGAGCTGGGTCTTGACTCATGGCAATCCCTGCACAGTGGGATAGGACCGCTGTGACCCACAGGGTTTCCACTGGCTGATTTTAGGAAGCATGCTGTCAGGCCTTTCTTCCTAGTTTGCGAATGACAATATATTCTAAAGTCACCATATTTGGTTTGATGGTAGAATCGCTTCTTGATCCCAGTTCTTTTCCTTTTTTAATATAACACTCTATTTGATTCATTCACAGCTTTTATGTGGGATTTGTGTGTTTCGCGGGAGAAAGATGAGGCTTTCTGCTCCTGTAAAGATTTACATCCTCAGAAACCCTGTACAGGGTCGCTATGGGTCGGAACCAACTCGACGGCACTTAATAACAACCACCACCACAATGGAGCTCTGGTACCATAGTGGTTACGAATTGGGCTGCAAACCTCAAGGTCAGCAGT